GTCAAGATGCTGAAGCTTAAGATGTTGAAAGAAATAATTCTACCCAACTATATCTTTGGCGCACAATGCGTCCTTTGTGCCACATTTACTCGCTGCTGGTAATTGTTTATTGATACAAGAGCGGCCGGCCAGTTCTTGTTGAAATATTTGAAGAGAACTCGACGCCTCGTGTATCCTGTACCGCGGAACTCGATCTGTGTCTGACATTACGCACCCTCTCGTCTGTCTACGCTTTCATGCAACCACCATCGAACAACCAGGGCCTTCGACACACTCGTCCAAACGTTTTAAACAAACGTCCCATTTAATTAATCGAACGGTAGCTTCGTACAGATTGAAACGTCGCTGGCCGAAACTGATTTGTCTGTGGAAGATATAGAGACAGGCTATCGATCAATTTACTATTTACTTTTCCCATTTTGTTCCAAGTGTTATAGATAACTCTGTAGTCTCGTTCAAAGATCTAGCCATTCTATGTGTAACCATAATGGTATTGAGCGACTTGAGGACTTCGATATTAGGTTAGGTGATTTTACATCTTCAAAACTGGCTGCAATTCTAGAAACTCGGCATTTGGTCCACGCGCGATTCTACAGACTCGACGTTAGTTCTAAATGATCCTAGAAACTGAAGGTCATTAGAGATCTTACAACTGTTACCAAATCGAAGCCTGTAGTTAAGTATGTTCCTAACCTAACTTATGTTCCACAGTGTCAGAGTTCGCGCAGGAGCTGGGCGCGGCAATGGAAAGCCACTCGGCAACCGTACGACGTCTTGTCGACGAGTTTCGCAGCCGATCCGGAGACACCAGAGTTGATTCCGGCGGAATGCGTCGAGTTTGGGAAAGTTTACTGCGCCAGGTGCAATCAGATGCAGAAGCTCACTTGGATCTGGCCGCGGTTCTCCAACAGCAGCTGTCTAGGCCCACCTTGGAGGCCAGCTTCCACCGAAAACTTCAGTCCAGAAAGGTAATTCGCTTCAGATTTCTGCATCTACGAAAATCGAACGAGCCCTTGATAGCGAAACTTTGTTCAAAATCCATGGCATGTGCTACAAATGTGGCGAAAAGTGGTTTAAGTTTGAAGGGAGAAATTGTCGTGCGATATAGTCAAAATAAGATAAGGCACCTGAATGTCTTTGACGACGTCGATAACGTGAGAATCTTCCAAAGAAATTGCACGTGGGCGTCGTTTGCCTGCTTCGAGATTGCTTCCAGCTCAATGTGATCGTCGTATCGCGTGCGGTATCAAGGGCTTCCTCCGAAAGCAGATAAAAGTTGCCAATACAACTGCTTTGAGCATTTCCTTAACGGACCTCGGTGTATCTGAAAATTGAGATTTACGATCGATCCAGAGCTGAGCGCAATGCAGATTTGAAGCTTTAGGATGATGCCACCAAACCTACCTCTTACCCCAACCTAACCGAAACTTGATTCGAATTTTTCATTCTTAACAAATCTATTAATCTCGAGTAATTGGGTAACCAGTATCGATTTTCAGAGGCCTGTTACGATCGAAAATCCACTGCGGCTTGACAAAATCCCAACTGAAAACTATTCCACCTGAACCGAGATTTAGCCCTAATCCTAAAACCATAATTACAGGAGAAGTCTGGTAGCATAAAGGAGAAAGAGGATGATAAAACCAAGGAAATTCCATATTGCAGGTGTTTGCTCATCGCGAGGCCTACGAGCAGGTGGTGGCGAAGACCGAGGAGAAGCTGCAGCGTGCCCGCGCGGATTACAAACGCGCCTACGCCTCTCTCTTAATGATAGATGGCGGGAGTGAGCAGGAACTGAAACGCGCCTACTACGAGGCGCACAATGCGTACGTTCTTCAATTGAAAGCCACGAATGCCATCACGGAACGGTACCAGTCACAGTGCCTGCCTAGTCTGCTCGGTGAAATAGCGGAAGTATATGAGGAGTTATGTGGATTGGCTTGCAAATGCGTGGCTGGAATATCGGAGGCAGCCGCAGAGAGGGCTGGGGATCAGGCGAAACGTTATCAAGCGGTAGCGAAAGAGGCTCAAGTCATAACACCGCTAAATGATTTGCAAGTACGTCGGATTGACTATATTTCCCAAGTCTTCCTTTATCTATCCTCGTTTATGAGCCTTGACTCAATTGTTTGCGTACTGTGAGTGGCGGAATGAAGAGGGCAAGGGAGGGAATCCTATCAGTCGGCAGAACCGAATTAGGGTTGTGACGAGCTTGCCAGTCAGCCAGGCGTAAAGCTGTTAAATCCTCCTATTTGTGAGAGTTCTACATGCTCGGTTGAGATTAGGATTCTTAGCTTCAGACGACAGGGAACTGTAGGGATATTATTCCGTTTCTGGTGTTGCTTCTTAAGAGGAATAGTTTTGGGAAAACTAAGGCATGCGATTTTTAGAAATACAGGGAATGGGTTTGTTGTTTTTACAAATACACGAGAAGGGGAAAAGAAAGCAAAAGGCGATGGCCAGAGACAGAAATCGGATCTATATTTAGAGCACATAGATCGTGTCTATATTTGGCAAAACATGCAACGATGGGATTTATAATTATCATTTATCAGCAGAGCTTGCAGTAGATTATTCTATGATCATCCTATCCCACAGAAATAGAGAAAAGATTCAGGTATCAAGAATTAATGATCACCCTATTACAGATATAACTTCGAGCGGTTATTCCACCTATTAAGACCAGAATTTTGTGTCTAGATTCTGGCACGGAGCCTATCAGCCACCGCGACCCCATCGAAGAAGCCCTCCAGGCGTCTGTTCGTGGCGCCAGGTCCGCCAGAACAAATACCCATGGAGAGAATCAGTCAAATACCGTCGCTGAGGGACGAACTAGCACCGACAGGAACCAGTACTCTGCCCCTGATGGAGGATTTACGACGAGAGCACGATAGCCTAGCTCAAGAGATCACGCGACTCCAGGACGCCTTGGATACGTTGATCCGCATGCAACGAAAGTGCGTTAACTTATCCACCCAGAACAAATATTTAGAAGTTAATAAACTACTCTGCGAATGTGCGAATCTCCTGGCTTAAGTGGATACGGTTTTCAATGAGTTAGAAGAGGTAGAGAGCCAAAGTAGGTGATCCAATCTTGGTCGGTTAGACGTTCAACGTTGGGTCTTCCCAGATGCAACGTAGATACGTTAATCTATCGATTCAAATACGAGATTTATAATTCAATAGACCATATCACAATCGTGTGAACCTGATGACACGAATAGATAAGATTACAAGGGACAGAGTGGCAAAATGGGCAGCCCCAAATCTTAGTAATCAAACGTTAAATGTAGGGTCTTGTAGCAGTCTAGGATTTAGGATTTGAGGAAAAGTAATTTCACAATATTGCCAGTGCTGGCATTGAGAAGAAGGTACGATCGATAACGTGGAGCTCCAGCAAAATATAGAACCGCGAATAGAAATGATTAATGTCTGACAAAAGAATTCGGTCTAATTACCTCTCGTTCCGCTTTTCGGTGGCTGGTTCAATTTATTAAAGGTAAACACGTTACAAAGGGCCACGGTTCTCGAGTGCTGGTATTTCCAGCTTACAACACTCGACACGTTCGCGGGTTTAATTCCACGAAGCCCGAGAATCGCTAAACGGTTTCCTTTCTTTAATTGCAGGAGCGCTGAAAGCAATCTTTACACAAAAGTAGCCGAGCTCCAGGAAGACATCTCTATGAAGCGTTTCGAGCTAGGGGAGGCACAACTATACCTCGCAGCCGTGCAAGCACAGGTATTTCAATTGATATTATTTTGTAGCAAACATTCTGGTAAACCTGATAATTATCTTCAAACCTATGTTCGATGGTTCTCTCTGTTCCTTTAGCGTGGAAATTTTAACGAAACATTCGCTTTGAAAAAGGTTAGTGAAGCTACAGACATTTGTGAGGTAACTTTTCTAGCAGTGCTGTTTCAGGACAATATAACAACCAAAATTTAGATACTCAGCTTTACTTTATCACGATAATTTATTAATTCTTCCGTTTACGAAAAACAATTACTCGTTAGAAAGTAGAAATCAGAAAAATATTCTTGAAAAGTAATATTTTCGATGGACGAGTGATGTAATATGTAAGATGCTTGAAAATTTGTGAAAATGTTCCTTACATTTATATCACTTTCCCTTAAGAATCTCAACCTATCGCGTTTCTCATTTGCTCAGTAATTTTAACTTTCAGTAACCTTTTTTTCGTTTTTTTTTTTTTCTAAACTATTTAAATGAACCGTCGCAAGATCGATAGCAGAAAAAACGGAGACCTATTAGTGACTATCGAAAGTTTGCTCGCAAATTGCTGCACTTCAGTGCTGCCAACATAAAGTTCCTATCGAGAGAAACCGTATCAGAAGTTCCGTGCACTCGGATTAAAAACTTGCTACTTCCATAGCGAACCAGTGTCGTTTTCTTGTTTAGAAAACCGCGGCAGGGGTCGCGGAAAGTTTTTTCATTCGTGACAGAAAAGTTTCTGTGTTCCTGCTATGACAGGAATCAGATATGTGTATCCTGTATGTGTGCGTGTTCGAGCGTACAGGAATCGTTTGACGACCTAGAAATTGGATTTGCGATGGATCCCCGAGGAAACATCCATCGTAGAAAAGAAAAATCACCGATTTCACGCTACTGTTCCCTTACACCGGAGGTTTCTTTAGATCCGGCAGTTTCTTTGTTGGTGATTCCATTCAGGCCGTGAAATCCTCTGATGCTCCTACCTACAGTTATACATACATTAGCATAAAAAATTTTTCAATCACAAAATCTGGTTACCTTCCATGGTTGAAAATTCAAAGTAATTCGGTATTGTTAGATCATATTTTTAATAAGCTTCCTAATTTCGCTAATTACAAATTTTATTATTCAACATCTTTAAATCCCAAAAACGTACGAATTTAATCCTTCAATTATTCCCAGGTGATATATAACAACATAACCTCCAATAAACTTCTTCATTTTTAAATTTAAACATCTTTAAATTCTAGAATATTTACTTATCAAGAAATAAAGTTTGATATTATTGTTCGAACGAAATTTTGTCTGAACCTAATCTCAACTGATCGAACCACGTATCAACGAACCAAATACCGAGAAAATTCTTCGAGTGATTCAAAGAAGATTCTACGCAGAGTCATCTGACGTGAATTCCTAACCTGAACCAATTTGTCATCGGCCAGCGAAAGAGCGCGAGCACCACGGTATCACAGATCAGCTGTCAGCAAAAGCATTATCCTCATCGGCAATCCAACCACCTAAACAGCCGGTCGAGTGGACGAGAACGACAAAGAAGAGCAATCCGTGACACTTTGTTCAGTGGGTCTTCAGACACAGTCGGTCGGAGAAATCTTACCGGGACAAAGGAACGTGTCGATCTCGGCCGCGAGAAAAAGAACTGGTCTCGCGGAGCATTCGTGGTTCTCGAGTCGAGTGGCTGAGCCGATTAAAATTAGCACGAGCCTCCCATTGTTCCCTTGCACGGGCCTCGAATAAGTACAATGCACCCTGTTTGTTCACCTGCACGTGCTGTCCCGCAGTTCCGTACCTCCTCTCGTACGATCCGCGCCAGATCGGCTGCCGTTAATAAGACGCCATATTGGAAACTGGTAATTGATTCTTCGATGTGAGTAGACAAAAGGAAAAAGTGTTGTTCTCAGCAGTTAATGCATATCGATCTCTTAATTTGATGGTCGGAATTACAAGTGTATTGCGATGAAACGAATATTGGTCGATACCAATATCATTGGCTATCGATGGCTATTAAACGGGCATTTTGAGGTTAAAATATTCAAGCGGAGGATATTAGATGGGAGATTTGTATATTGTTGTGGCATTTCGCAAAATTGAAATTAACGATGGTGTCAAATTATCAAGCCAATTGCTCTTCTAGTAATACTCTCTCATAAAGCATCATAACTTTATGATAATTCCATTAGAAAACTAGCACGACTGTTTCCACATTTTTACAGAAAGTAACCTATCCTAGGTAACCTAACCAAAATCAACCGAACCATCGTCATCGTCGTCAAACACTAACATTCGACTCGAAGTTTGAATTAGAAGATAGCAACGAGGTTATACGAGGGTAAAAGAAGCGAGAGAAAAATTTTTGAAATCAGCCGTGGCAGAAGATAAGGGACACAGAATCCTTTGTCGTCGAGCGAGACTCGGAAGACACGTGAGACAGACTTTCGCTCTGACTCGTATCCTGAAGGTAGCTACACATAAGAGCCGAGCTTTTCTCCGGTCAGTCATTTCCCGGAAAAGGGATGAATTATGGAGGGATAGGCGGCGAACGGTCGTGAAACGAGCGAGGTAGTCAAAGGCACGTAAATTTGCGATCGCCTTCTCTCGTGAAAATAACTTCGACACACGCGCGCTTCTAGAAACGCTCGCTTCAGCGAGTTCGAATGCCTCGACGCGCATCTGTCGATACTCGAATTCGCGAGAAAGTACGATCGCAACTTTTCAAACGTAGATACGTCAGAAATGATGAGAAATATGGGGAAAATGGGGCAGATTTGAAAGGACAAATTTTCCTCGGTGAATAGTAGAAATTATATAGGGTGTCTTTGACACGTGTAGCTATCTGTCGATATTTGAGCTGCGATCAGATTACAACCGAAGCTCTTCTAACGTACGTCTGTATGGCAAACGATGACAAATACGACTGTGAAGTGGAAGAACGATAAGGACGATGAGTAGTCAAAATCGAGAAAAAAAGGCGAATGATAAATTGACAAAAAATTGATGAAAATGCTAAAGAATGACAAAAGCTACGAGAACGATATGGAAGATAAGAATGGTGGAGGGAAACAAATTTACTATAAAAGGTAATAGAAATCGTACGGGTTATTTCGCGTAACTGAGACAGTAGCTTTTAGAATACAGTAACTACTTAACACAGTAACAGCCAGAAGAAGAAATTCTAACCTATAAATCTAGGTGTTTCAAAAACTTGAAGCTTTCCTTTATTTTCTCTTCGTATCTCTGTATTTGATTGTCCATAGGAGACACTTCAAATACGAAATTATGAGGAAATTTATTTCAGACGTGGAAACATGGCGGAATTTATGGCGCGAGATGCAAATTTGTCCGGTATGGTCTTAACTCAGATTAAACTCTAAGTCTCAGTCATCCTACGTCTAACGTGACTAATAAAAATCCAAGTAAAATTCCAGCTCGTATTAATCTACATAATCTACATTTACGTATTTGTATCTAATCCTTGATCTAATTTTAGACCCAACTAAATGTCCCTATGAAACTTCAAGCTCGACAGTAAACAGGATTTGTGAATGGGAAAACAGAGACAGAGGAAACACAATGGAGGAGGAAATCTGTTCTTCTTTTTTCTCTTGATAAGTGGGAGGCAGAGGCGTGAAGTATACAGCCCCATTCAATGACATTGGTTTGCATACGCCTTTGAAACCCTTTTTTGCATCTACCTTTCCATCGAATTCGTCGTCCTCGGCGAGAAGATTGGCCTGATTCAAGCGTTCCACACGAGCATTCGCTAAATTCCACAATACGACGTGTCCTGATCCTTCGACTGGCACGCCAAGGATGACTGAATACCTAAATGTAGGCTGATCCGCACTCCATTACCTCCTAAAATAGCAGCCTCTGTGACGTTGCCAACTTTTTGCCGCAACGAGCATTTAGGCTTCACGTGAATCTGAATAATTGTCTGCCAACCTGAATATCGATAGCAAAGGGCGATCAATGATATAGTAGTTGATCCTTGCTTATAGCCTAGTATTAATATTCTTTGTAAAAATATTCCAGACAATTTGTAAAACTTAGACTACCGATCTGTTAGCTGATGAGAGCTACTGGTAAACGTCTTCGGTAACAAAGATGGTGCTATAGTCATGCTCGTAGAACACGAGAATTGGCCACGTAGTCAGGAAGATTATAGATTGAGGGAAGGTCGTTTAACCGGTGCTTTCACCACCAGGGGATCGATATCGTGGCCGAGTCTTGCTGAAATTTTCAGCAAGACACGTCCTAATGGACCTGTCAGCGGCCACCAGATACCAGTGTCTATGGAACAGGCTAGATATCGATAATTGCCCGCTTCGATCCATCCTAGCAATTTCCTTTGCATTAGGCTTCTACCCTAGCCTCGATCACTTTGTCAAGACGATGAAGGAAGCTTGTGTTTTTTTATCTATCAGAGATTTAGAGGCTAATTTAAAGAAGATGTTGCATGAAAGAGAGCGATAAAGAAGAAGAGAAGGTACTTAAATTTAGATTTCTTATCTGAGCGACAGGATTTCAACTTTATTAGCCACGTAGAGAGAATTTTACAGACAATTGTGCTCTGTACAAAATGATTTTGACACGAATTTTTAGATTAATACATCCAGCGGGATGGTATATCTTCCTTTTTCATTTTCTTCTTCATGTTTCTGTTTTTTTTTTTTTTTTGTTTTCTAGCGGAACGTTGAATCGGAAATGGTCCTTCAAATATTCAAAAAGTATGCCCGATTGATATGGAGCTGCGATTAAACGATAAAAGTTGCTGCAGTTCTTTGAAAACGATTCAATTTAGCCTGCACTTCTGCAGGTTAAAATATTTAAGGCTATTTCGATTCCTAGCAATTTCTCCATGTAACGTAACGTTCTCCATGTAATGTAACCAGTAGTTAAATAGAAATCTCATTGGAGTGAGAAAATTACTTGGTGTATCTTCAGAAATCAAAGAATATCGCCCCAATTGTAGCAACCAAACAAAGATCTGTCGATTATCTTGATTAATCAAAGTGGAGGTTAAAATATTTTTCAAATATTTTTTATCTGGAAGGGCAAATCATTAGAATTGTTTCTCTAACTCTCGAGCACTCAAAATTCTTCTAGAAATTGAGAAATTATGCTGACCCAAAGTTGAGAAACCTCTGTCAACAATGAGATCAAAAAATGTTTCTTCAACTGGCAACATCGTTTCAAGTGGCTTGCCTATCTTGTCCAAAATTGCTATCAATGAAAGAATCAAAATGATAATATTTTAAGAGAATGAATTTTTAAATTAATTTAACAGATTGATGAATTTATTTATTTTCTTTTTAGATTAATTTAATGATATTTTACAATTAAGAGAATTACTGCGAGTGCTTGCAGATACTGAAAAATCCTATTCCATTCAATTCCATCGACTTATTCAAACTTGTATAATTATCAACATTCCCCTGCAATATTGAGAAATTGTCTCAATTAAAAAATCAAAAAGTTGTGTGAAAGATGAGAAAGTGGCACCTGAGTTAATGGAGTCAAGCCAAGTCCTTCCAAATACTTCAACTAAAAATTTTAACTGAGTAATTAAGAACCATAACAACTTGGGCACTTGTACGGAATTTTTAAGAACTGTTTTAACGAGAAGTCCAAAGTATTCGAGAAGTTAGAAGGAATCGAAATTGATCTGTCTGATTATCAAAATTTATCCAATTCGTCTAAAACGCTTCCCACAAACCGACGAATCCTCTGTAGATGGAACATACGAAATATCGAAAGCAAAATGCTTGTTGTAACGTTTATTGGATAAATCAATTGTGCTGGGATTTCGTTTCTTAAATTACCTTCGCAAAAGTACGAATTTGCACGAACGTGCGCAGTCTATCAGCGGCTAAATAAAATAAAATGTAAAAGATACAGCTGAAAAGCAAATTTCATAGAACAGTTCACGTCTAGAAAATAAAAACCGAATACAGACGCATGTCAAACTGCGATAAACCATGGCAAAACGCTGATGACTAAATGAAATAAAATCCGAAAAATATAAATCATAGAAAGAGAGGCTATCGATAGAAGCATACACAGATATAAAACGTAGATAACTTGCAACTGGCATACAATCATACACTCGACGTACAACTCGTAATGGAAAACCAAGCAAACTAAAAAGAACAATTATCAGATAGGAAAACCGGACATGCGTAAACAAATGCATGTCAAACAGTAATAAACCGGCATAAAGAGAAACTGATAACAGATAGCAAAGAACAATTCCCAAATGCGAGATAAAAATCGGATACGCGTAAACTGACGCGCTCCAAATTGCCATAAATCGATGCAAAGGACCGACAACCGAATACAATAAACTGAGTAGAGTAAAACGTAAAATAAAACAATGTAGGTACAAAGGTAGACAGCTTGCAAATTACACGTGGCCATGGGCTGCAGACGAAACAGGTTCCAAAGGACAGTTGACAGATAGGGAACGAAAACCGGATACGCGTAAACAGACACGCGCTGCGTTGCCTAACGCGTCGCCCGGATAAATAGGGGCGCGCAATCGCGCGACATGCGCCCTCACAACTGGGTCACCATCCGACAGCCGCCGTCTGAAAATCCATTCCTGGCCTCGAGTTCGCTCTCCTAGGTCAGGGTGGCAGGAGGAGCCTGACTAGTCCTCGCGAAAATGGGCTGGACAACGCTGCGCACACAAGTCGTTAGTATCCCCCTTGAAACACCTGGACGAGACACCTGGCCCCTTTCGCTTTCTATCGCGAATCCAGGTCACAGACATCAGATCCGTGCAGCCAGACAGTGATCGAGCCATTATTCGTGGCGCAGTGTGCTTTCGCGCTGGTGAATCCTCGCGTTCCTGACTCCAGATAGCTCGCATCCGTTGCTATGCGGCTCCACTGCGGTCGTTTCCGGTTCTTCTTGCCTCACAAAGTCTGTACACATTGTGTCTAGTGGTATTTGACGTGAATGTGTGCCTGGAATGATGGTTCTACGAAAATTAGCGACAAACGCAGGTCTATGAGAAAGTTAGGTCAGCTGCTGGTAGGAGCAGCTGGTGCATGGTGTTTTGACACGTGACACACGATATTTGCAGGCGTCGAGACGCGTGTCCGTGATCAGGACACACACGTGGGGGACACTTTTTGCCGCACGTGCTTGGGATTAAACGTGGTCGAATGATTTTCGTTAGGGGAGTGTCGTTCCTTGCTTGACAGAATGGACTCTTCGTGGCGTATTTTGATGTCGATACCGGGGGTTTTGCGGGCATTCGCAAGTGTGTACAGAGTAGTCGGGAATTGATTAAGAAGAATTGTTTATGCGATGGCTTTTACCGTTGTTTTGTCAAACTAGATTCCCCGATATTTAACACTTTCGCGTGTATTAAAAAGTTGCTGGAAAAATCGTGCGTCGTCGTTGCACGTTGCAATTGTATTGCCTGATGAGATGTAGTTGCGTAACGTTTGTTCTCTGATAAATGCACAGTAGCACAGACGCAACTGTTGCGTCTATATCTGTACACGTTTGAATAAAATATTTTTAGAAGAAGAAAAGAGAGGCGACTATAGGAAATGCGTTGAGATATTATTTGACTCTGCTACGTGCATATTTCCTGTGTCAATCTTGCCTTCGTTTCTGGCAAATCCATTTTACAAATCTTGCAAATCTAATTTTACAATTCCATACGTAAAAATATCTGTACTTTTTAACAGCGAACGTGTTAAATACCTAGTGTCTTGACTTTTGTAAATGTCCCTGATTTTGCTTCTTTCGTTATTTACTTTTTGTATTATTTTCGTGCTGTCCAGTCGTAGATTGCAGACTATTGAGTAACGTATCGCGGAATAATGCAGAGTACAGTTTGACTTGATGGTCGATGCTCCTTCAGTGTCTTTATGAATGAAGCCCCCACAGTATACTCGGTGCACGATATAGCGATAGGTACAATGGTCTGTTTGGGATCGATAGGAATCTCGGTTGCCGTAATATCGTACTATCGATGGCCTAATTTTAATTAACAATTATTTCCGGCAGACCTTGCCTCGAATTAGCAAATTTGTTAATTATGAAATATTAACCACTGTTGGACACTGTTGTTGGCAATTAAATGTCCAATAATTATAATCAACGCTATTTCACTTTTAAACAATAGATTGATGGAAGAACAATAATATTTGTTTATATTTGTTAAGAGACTGTTTATTAAAAATTGCGATTTTTCTAATTGGAAGCAAAAGCTACCCTGCAGCTAGAATAAACATTAGTTTGCCACGCTTTTGATCTCTTATATATTTCTGAATATTTAGATATTTTACATTTTGCATATTAATGAACATACGCTGAATATGCATGTTGTTTTCCATATTCATACATCCTGCGCATTTTTGTATCTTTCAATTTTCACATAAATCCATCAAAATTGGCAATTTATTTAGTTAATAATAAAATATTATTAAAATAATGGAATATTAAAATCGAATGATACAATTGAAATAGCTTTGCGAAATGGTGATAATAATTGGAAAATAAGTCGGTACATGTGTGTTACGATAAGCAATAATCAGGTGTCCTGGATAGAATCCAATTAATAGCGGGCAGAGCCGTTGCATTAAAACGGTTCTGGCTTCCTCTTTCGTTGGATATCTATTTACCAGACGGTCGTGCACGAGTTGTTTGCCGGCTCGTGCAGAAACTCGACTATTTCCATTGTCATCGCACTGTCATACCATAGGAAACAGAACTTTCTGAAAAGTTTTCCGATATCCCTGTGTTCAATGGCACAATAACAAGACTTCTATCGTTCGGTTTATATCTTTCATTATTGCCACAGTTTTGAAACGAAGTGGTAGAGGTAAATTGAAAAGAGTTGCTTTAAAGAAACACAATTTTCTATTATCTCGTTACTATATTTGTTAGGATAGAAAATAATTGAATTAATGGGAAAAATTTAAAGAAAAAAATTCGCTGAATATATTATATTTACAATGTAGAAAATATTAGTTTGATTTATTGGAAAAATACTTGTACGTTATCTAGCGAGCTACTGCAAGAATCTAAAAAAGATTCTAAAAGTCATAAATCAGATTAAAGAAATATAATTTTTTAGTTATTTCGTTAATTAGAAATGAAAGATTGGAAAGATGAATTTTAAAAAAAATTTGTCTACTTTGAGGTTCTAGAAAATATTTCTTAATGTATACAAGATACAAAAATTATCTTTGTCCGCATATTTTTAATTTTGATTACTTTTCATTACTGCAATTTAAAAAGGAACTAGAAAGTTTCAAGAAATACAACTTAGAAGCGCAGGAATCAATTTTTCCACTGAAGCATCAGAGCGTCAAAGTTCCAAGAAACACTGTGACCATTTTCTTTCTTCGTTAGATTATATCGTTTCCCATTCTAAAAAGGTATCTAATTCGTTAATGGAAGTTAATTAGTGTAATTACTTAATTCCATAATGGCGTCGGTGATCATTTCAAAAATAATTGCAAAAGAGATAAAGGGAGATCGTTAGGGAATTTTCAAGTGCTAGGGGAAAATTGGATTCTGTTAAAAAATGGTCCAAGTCTGCCAGAGCAGATATTACATGTGACGTTCGTTTCAATTTGCAGAAGGAGCTGTTCGGGGCTGGAGAAGCCGGCCAACCGGATGGGGTGAGCAGCCGGAAGATGTCGAATGGCTCGACCGGAAGTACCAAGCACAAATGGTTGAAAGCGTTCAAGAGTTTGAAAACCAGCTCCCCGACGACTCCGCCATCAACCGACAAGTCAGTAACTATTCGATGAAAATGGACTTTAAACGACGAATGCTTCGAATATCTTCTTCCTTCTCGCCTATTTTATTTTTTGTTTTCATTGGTTTCTTTTTTTTTTCTTTTCTTTTTTTTTAGATAACATGTTTTGTTAAAGTGTGTTGGTTGTGTTTGAATAACCAAAATTGTTGTTTTGTCAATGCTTCACTAACACAGAGGGAAACAGGCGATGTACCATGCTGTTTCTACAGTCGTCGCCATGTCTAGGTGAGTTTGTCACTAGAAAGTCACTAGATATTCGTTCAACTTGGTTAATGATTAATTCAACAACGAGGTAAATTTGTTTCCTGCTCTTTCATTAACATATATATATATATATATATATATATATATATATATCTTATAATATATTAGCAATACAATTTTTAATAATTTTACAAAGAAATTGTATTGAAGATATATTCCTTTATTTGGTGATAATGAA